CCCACTTTTTTCTTCTTGCTCCTCTCTCTTTCCTCCCCCACCCCCTTCTCCAGAACCGAAGTGTGATTTACTGCGTTCGTGTGCGTAGGGACAATGAATGTGTTTCTGCCTCTCTCTGTTTCTCCCTCTCACCTAAGGGGAGGAGCAAAAAACGGAGAAGAGATACTGCACTTTTCACAAATATTTAATGAAAAATTTAATTTAAAGCCGCCTAGAACTAGGTAGATGAACGCTAGACCACTTCTCGCGTAACAGCCTTCGCGATATCTCACGAAACCCGCTAGGCCTCGGTGGATGTATGCCAGGCGCTAACCCGAGTCGGGCTAAAGGTAAGGTCGTAAAAAGGCCTTCAGCCTCAAAAGGCACAGGTTTTGGTCTACAGGCTTTTATCTTGACGAGTTACCCCGTAGAAGACCATAACAAATAATTTTAAAAATCCGCAATATTTTACGAATGCTTGTTAAATTACCCGTTTAGTACCATTAATTTATACATATGTACATATTTGTGCATGTTTGACTGTGTGTATATTCTTCAGCAGGGCATTGCTTGAGGAAAAGAAATTAACATACAAATGCAGACTACAGGCTAGACTTTGATGCATTTCTTAAATCCCTAATGAAAAATCAATTCGTGTACAATCAATATAGTTCCTCAGAAATGCACATGATTCTGAAAAAGGAAATTCAGAGTAAAAACACAACACGATTAAAGTTGTATTTCAATTTACTGAAATTTAGAGGGAATTTGTTAAATTGTCATATAACCGCGTCTAGAGAGCGTGGGTGGTACAAAAACAAGCACAATACAACAAAATCCAATCACGGAAAGAGACACGACCAATAAACTGATGTCAACGTCATCCTCCAAGTTGGAGGATGGTGTCGGTGAGGCGGTGGAGCTGGCTGGGGCCGTTGTTGACTTGGGGACCACTGTACTAACTGAACTTGTGGACGAAGGGACTGCGGTTCGGGTGCTGGTGGAGCTAGTAGTCCTTGGGATCTCGCTGGTGGCCGAGGCGGTTGTTGTCGTCGACGGATCTGAGTCAGAGCTTCTGACCAGTACACTGCGCGTGGCTGTGAGCTGCAATACGAGCAGAAGAACTGCCACGATATGGGCTATCCGCATCTTGTACCACACAATTTTAAACACTCGACGTCTAGAGAGATCAGGAAACGAATGTTGGCTAGGCAAAGTTCATGCCGGGGCTAGTTGGCCAGTGCGTTTCGCCAGCTGCTGCGGCGCGGGACTGTCACGTCCCAGAGCGCCAGAGCGGATGCCACTCACTGCCTCCGCTCCGATAAGAAGAGTCACACTTCCAGTCATGCCCAAGAAACAATCACATCCAGGAAACGCACAACACCAGGGTGATATCATTCCTAACGGAGCGTCGTCGAAAAACTTATGTTTTTTTTGAAAAAAAAATCTGTTTAAAAATTTCTTATACATGCAGTGATTTATCCAAAATTCGCTTCAATTTGGCATAAACCTAAAGGGAATTCACATTAAAGTAACAAGGCAGTGGAAGTTGCATCCTCATACAGATACATTTAGAGGGACGTTGTTAACTCAACATAGGCGCGGTAAGGGGCCGTGATTGGCAGAACACTCAGCACCATATTACCAGAGCAGATCAAAGAAAGAACGACGAACAGTACCGTGAGAAAAACATCATCGTTTGAAAAGGAGATGACTGGTGACAGTGGGGTGGTGGGGACCACTGTACTGACCCCAATCGTCGACGAAAGAACTGTGGTTCTTGTGGAACTAGTAGTTCTTGAGGTCTCGGCGGTGGTCGATGAAGTGGTCGTGGGCGAAGAATCTGTAGTCTTGCTGGTGTAAGTGGTGCTAGAGATGCTGGTGGATGGCGAGACGGTCGTTGTAGGCGAAGGAATTGTAGTCCTGGCAGTTTTAGTGGTCGTTGGGATCCTGGTCGTGGGTGATGACGTGTGCGTGGGCGAAGAATTTCTAGTCCTGGCAGTTCTCGCGGTCCTCAGCTTCTCGAAAGTGGGTGGCGAAGCGGTTTTCGCGGTCGGCCCTTCCCACCGGATGAACGTGGCCGAGACGATCAGTACGGCTGCGAACAGAAGAGTTGCTTGGTATGTCCGCATCTTGTATCACAAATTTGCAGTGCTTGACGTCTAGTCAGTCAGTTGCCGCTTACACGAATGAGAAGCCGCGGACCTAAACTGTCGCGTCCCAGTGCGCCAGCCGCGGCTGCTACTCCCTGCCTCCGCTTTGATAAGGACGTGAGTCACACCTCCAGTCATGCCCACGGAACGATCCAATTTGAAGGAAACACGCATCGTCAGGGTACTGGGTACTATTATTCATATCGGAGCGTTGTCGACTCCTTGAACTGTTGAATTCTTCGTGTGTTCATTTGGCGATTTCTTTTTCTTTTTTAACAGTGTATTTTTTACGTCTTCATCAGACTTGTATGTTCCCATGTTGGCCAACTCATGAATTTCTTGAATTTTATTGCATATCCCGAAATATATTTCCGATTCGCTCTTGTCGCGTGGGCGTCGCCGTGGTGTTGGATCGGCCCGTCCCGAACGTCAACATTCACTAAGCAGCTCGCCGATAATGGATTATTCGAAGCGCGCTCCGCCCGGCGCCGCCAGCGCACGCTGCTGGTTGGTTCGTTTCGTTTCGCCGGCGAATTGCAATATTTTATTTCGGACGCGCCAAAAGCTCGTGCCGGCGTGGCGCCATCCTTCATCCGGCGCGAGGGAAGAATTGATGTCTCAATCTCCCCCTTCTCGGCCCTGCCCCCCTCCCGCCCGCTACTCCTTCCTCCCACGCTCAGCACTTGAGCGCACCAAGAGAACTGATACACCAAGTGTGCAACTGCTTGGCACTTGTAAGTGTTCAAGTGCTTGACACTAGTAAGTATGCGACTGTGTAGTTGGATACTTGCTAAGCACTTGCAAGTATTTCTCGATAGCTAAGCACTTGTAATTGTGCAACTCCTACGTTTAACCTAACCTATGGTTAAACAGGTATCATTGTGCTGAAAAAGAGCTGCACACGTGCAAGTGTACAGCTATCCAGTAGTTAGATAGTTGTACGAGCCTCATCTCTGGTGCGTGGCATGCGGTGGCGCGCTGCAGGTAAGATCCCTCCGAGGGGGTGCCGACATAAACTTCCCCTAGCTCCACAACACAAACAAGGCTGCGGAGTTGGCTCGGGCGCACGAAAAACGCGCGTTGTGTTGCCGTGGCCCCGGAAGTCTGCCTGCGGCGCTGCCTTGTCGGGGCCGGACACGTCCCTGGGGGCCCGCGGCCGCCCGACTGCGCGTCTGACTTTAGCTGAATGCAAACATGTGAGAGTTAATTGTGAAACATCTCTCTTCGAGACGCGACCGCGCCGACGGCGGCGGCCCGCGGCCGGCGTGAGCTGCCTTGATGTACGACCCGCAGCGTTACCGCACCGAGCTCCCTCCCTCTCTCTCTTTCTCTCTCTCTCGCTCTCCTCTGTCGCGCTCCCTTCTCGCGTTGAAGATGAGCGGACGTTGTTGTGGCGCCAAGGAGAGAGAAGGATAGGATGCTGATGTGCGCGCACCCCTGGCCGAGTGCGGGTGCGCGGAGGGATACACAACGCATGTCGGTAGTCTAGGGTGGGTATACTTCGCTTCACTTAGCATTGCCCGGCCCTGCTCCGATCAGCGTGGCTGCTAGGGTTGCCAACCCCTGCACCCCTCCCCTGCCCCGCTCGCGGTTGGTAACCCTACCTCGGCTGCAGGCCGGCCGCCGCCGGCTGGCTGCCTGCAGGCTGGCGGGCCTGGTCCGGCGGATGAGGGATGGTGTCGACGGCGGGCGGGAAGTTTGAAACTCAAGTTTGGCCACGATAATAAGATTGCAGACAAGTCGCGCAGGAGGGGAGGGGAGCTGCAGGTGGCACCAAGTTGGCGGTCCTGCTCGCCCCGCTCGCCCTGCCCTGATGGATGGCCGGGATGAGTCCCTGTTTCCTCCGCTCCCGCTCCGCCACACCGACAGCCCTCGCCGCTTCAGTGGCGCCCTAACCCCCGTGGGCCGATACCCCCATGCGACGATGCTTTGTCACTTGAAACGTTTTGTGCGCGCGCTTACGACTTCAAGCGGTCTATTCCGTTTGTCAAAAGCGTGGAAAACTGATAATACTGCTCGGGACGTAAGCTCGCAGGGAACAGGGGACACGCAGTCCCTGCGCCAATGGCCGAAATGACAGGACCGCAGGGGCACGGCCAGAAGCGTCCGGTCAGCTGCCTCAGGATTAATGCCGTGTCAACCGGACAGGTAGCACCCCCGCCTCCCCCCCACTCCCCACCCCGTTTCCCTCCTCCCTCTCGCTCTGTTTTCCACGCAGGAGGACGACCCGCTGTGTTCATCTTTGTCGCACTGGTACTGCTGTGGGGGTCGTATCCCCAAACCGGAAGTGAGCATGCAAGGGTGACGGATGACACGTGTGAGTGAGTGTGTGAGTGTGTGTGAGTGTGCGTAAGTGTGTGTGTGTGTGCGCGCGCTTGGTTTGGACGCAGTCGCCGGACCGGTGGGGTTAAACGTGCCGCTGGCGAAGCGGGTGGTCCTCTCGTGTAGGTTAGGCCCCTCAGTGTCTCCTTGGAGTGCGCGCGACAACGCGATGGAGGGGGGAGGGGACCTCGGGGTTCAACTGGGGAGGGAGCCGCACTGTTCGCCAGTTTGAGAGAAATTTCCAATGTGGTAGTTTGTGTTATCCGAACGCTCTTGCAGTGTCCTTTGGGGCGCTAAGCCCTGCTCTGTGACCTCGCCACTCCCCCCCCCCCTCCCCACCCATTCTCTCTGATTCGAGCAGCGTTTCTTTTAACGCCACGGACGTCATGCGCCTTGAATTTATGACTGCAGGGCGTCGGAAGGAAAGGCTTAGAGAGGAGATCTCCTGGTGCGGCGCAGTAGGGGGGAAGGGGGGATATGCGCCACCAAGTCCAATGCGGGTTCAATTACTCACGTTTACGATAAGAGAAGGTATGGCAGCAGTCTGCAGTCATAGAAAATTTGGTCAGCTATCTTCGGCCGTACGACGAACATGGCCACGTAACGTCAAAACAAGTGAGGTAAATTTTTCTGAAATTTACATACTTTTCCAACAGTTTACCAACAAATAAATGATTGAAAGCTACTGTTCGGTATGCTGGCAAAGACCCCGTCAAACCTGAACTTCGCGCTTTTGGCCTATAATGTATATAAGTGCTTCTCACTGCTCATGTTACTTGACGTCTCTAGAGTCATGACAAGTTTTTTCCCCCCCTTCATTTGTACATTTTGTGGATGGACAGCTCCACCGGTGAGGTGGTCAGAGGCCGACGAAGCTCGGCCAACGGGCGCTGCCTACCGCGAAGCTGGTTGGCTGGGTGGATTGCTGTCAGCCAACGCAAAAAAAATCAAGACGTATTATCCGAGGGCTGTGGTGCATATAAATTATACCAGGCGGGAAATTTCTTGATACCTTCCGAAATAAATTAGTCACGCCCGCTGTACAGACGGGCGTTTGGGGGG